GTGCAGGGGGGAGAGTTGCCCCTTGCAGGGGGGAGAGGTGCCCTGTGCAGAGCCCCAGCACACTGAGTCTGCCTGGACGTTCCTGTCGCAGGGGGGCGCGTCCTTTGCGGTGGCATTACAATCCTCCATCTGCACTTGCCACTTCTACCCCATCAGCATGGAGCGTGGACGAGGGCAGCTGACCTGAGTCTGTGTAATAGGAATTTATAGAGAATCCACACAAAAATTTTTTCCTCTACATTTTTATTGCGGTTTGAAGTTCCCATTTAAACATTCCGATCTTCATTACTTTAAGGAAAAGGATATTATTTTATTACTCGGTTAATTCTTTTTTAAAAATAAAGAGGTCTGTTGTAATTTATTGACACTCTCCTCTCCTATTTACGCTGTTTCTGATGTTAATCTGGAGGCTTTCATACTGTGATTCTGCAAGGAAATGCTGCATTGTTTTGCCTGTGCGGAAGTAGCGTCTTTGAGCCCCTGGACGTGTGTGTGGCCCTGTGCGACTGTAATATCCTGCCTTGATGCTTAGAGCTTGAAACTTTGATGTAATTGAACTAAAACTAGACATTGCACCAGAAACATGTTTTCAGTCAGAAAAAATTAAAATAAACCTCCCTGGTTGCTTGCATATTTCTATGATTTTAATATTTGTCAAAATCTTTAAGTTTTGCCTGCTGCAACTTGGGCGCTCCCTGAAAATCTGACAGAAAAAATAAAAGATCACATTTGGAAATAAACGCCCTGTGTCCCTCACAGAGAAGGATCGGCTTGCTCAGGCCAGCTCGTTAACACTTGGCGGCTCAGAGAACACTTAATGCGCCGTAATTAGGTCCTGGCCCCTAATGCTCTTAATGGCACCATAATGGCCTGAAGGAGTTAATCAGGTCCCAGGGCACCTGGATTGTCGCTGAGAGTGCCAGGCCATTAGGGATAATAGCAGGTGGGAATAACAGCGTGCAGAGCCTTTTAGGATGGACAGGAGCACGTGTCCTTTCTGCCGAGCTGCGTTAACCACGCTGGGTCATGCAGCACTTCCCGCCGGGGCCAGACAGATGCTGGGGCCCGTGTCCCAGGAAGGGACACCAGCCTGCAGGGGCTCTTGGCTGGTGTTTAAGGAAATGAAAATTGGCATCTGTTGTCTTGTAGCAGCTGTTGACTGTGGAGATATTTCAGAGTTTAAAAAAAAGAAAGGGACTGGAGCGATAGCATAGCGGGTAGGGCATTTGCCTTGCATGTGGCCGGCCCGGGTTCGATTTCCAACATCCCATATGGTCCCCCGAACACTGCCAGGAGTAATTCCTGAGTGCATGAGCCAGGAGTAAGCCCCTGTGCATCAGGTGTGACCCAAAAAGAAAAAGAAAAATTTTAAATAAAATAAAACGGTCGTCGGGGAGGGACAGCCTGGAATGAAAACATTAATGACGAGGGGGTCCCGGGTAAGGGGGCATCTGGCTTCATCAGGAGACGCCCTGACGTGGGGGAGGGGGGGCCAGGGCACAGCAGGAGCCAGTGCTAGGATGGGTGGAGGCCGATCCTCGAGCCCTCGGCTTTGTGACGTCACTTACTCCAGTTTCCAGTCGCCCCCTCTGCTGGGCGAGGGGTGGGGGGCTGCCCCCCGGGAGACTCCAGCACTCAGTGCTCTGGCCGCAGGAAGGCCATGGAATTCCAACGCTTTTCTCAAATAGCAGGAAAGTGACCTTGGGGCATCTCATGTATCTCCAGTTTCAGTTGTTTTGGGAAAGATTTTCAGCTTTTACTTTGTGATCCTTTCTTCAACACTGCGATGGCTAATTATTCTCAAAGCCGGAGCTGATGGGAGCAGTTTTCTAAGGGACCAGGAGTGACTTCTTGGGGATATTGGTGCACTTTCAAACACTTGAAGTCAGTTAGGCCTGGGGGGGGGGGGGGAGCGGGGGCTGGGGTGCCTGTAAGTGCCGTGCCCCTCAGATCTCTGTTCAGCCCTGGATTATGTGTGCTACATCCACATCGGGGAGAGGAATCGGACTCTTCTGCAAAAGACCTCCCCCCACCAATGGGCGGGCGTGCTTCATACCAAGCACACGAGTTCTTCCCAGGGGTTTCCTTGGGGAACATCCAGAAAACCGGCAGAGGTGCCCACTTTGGTGCCGCTTCCCTGACAGGGAGTTCCCTTCCCTCCTGTCCCGGAGGCCAGCGCTCAGGACAGGAGCTGATGGAGGAGGTTGTGGGGCAGGAGGAAGGAGGTGAGCGGGGGCGAGACACAGCCATCCGTCTGCCTGTGCCGCTGACCCGGCCCTTGAGAACAGGGTTGAATCAGGTGGCTCTGCTGGGTGGCATGCGGCGGGAGAATTCCATCTCTTGCCCGCCCTCCGTGCCGGGGAGGCCGGGCTGCCCTTGGGAGCGTCTTTGAGAGGGCAGCAGGGGGCAGCCTTGGGTCAGGAGCAAAGTTTCCCCTACTGGGTCTCTGCAGGCTGCCATCTCCTCAGGCCGCTCCCAGATGTTCCCGCATTTCTCCCCAGAATGAGAGCAGGCAGTGCACAGCACTCAGGGCTGCTGGCCACCGAAGCAGCTGAGGCTGGACGGGGCACCCCGATACCCACACTGTCCGCTGTGGCTTCCGGCAGGGGAGCTCATCCTGCGTCCACTTTGCGGTCAGAGCTGTGGGAGAAGTGTCCGGCTCTCCCCCGCAACCTGCCACCGGCATCTGGATTATCACTGGTCACCACCCGTCCGCGTTTCAGGGTCACCCTATTCCCCCGCAGTCTTCAGAGTCGCCAGCACTCCCTGGGTGGCACAGAGAGTGAGTGCCTCTCCCACGCCTGACGCTGAAGGTGGTCCTCTAACTGGGCATAAAGAAGTAGTTTGTTCGTTTATTTGTTGTTTTTTGCTTTTTGGGTCACACCCGGCGATGCTCAGGGATCACTCCTGGCTCTACACTCAGGAATTACCCCTGCAGTGCTCAGAGAGCCATATGGGATGCTCGGAATCGAACCTGGGTCCGCTGCATGCAAGGCAAAAGCCCTACCCGCTGTGTTATGGCTCCAGCCCCAAGAAGTGGGTTTTTTGGTTTGTTTTTTTGTTTTTTGGTTTTTTTTTTTTTGTTTTTTTTTTTTTTTTGCCAGTCTGACGGGTGATAAACAGCACCTTCTCCTGAACGCTGCATTTTCCCGCCTGGTGCTGGGATGGGACGTCTATTTCGTGTATTTATTGGCCATTTGTACCTTCTCTTCTGTGAAGTGTCTCCACCTGTTGTTTCTGCATTTTTCTTCCTAGTGAGGGAATATTGACATCTGTGATCGATGGCGATCTCTTGGAGTTTTAGATATTAATTCCTTAATTTTTAGGCCACAGGTAATTTTCCCCAATGGAGAAAATTGTGCTGTTGCCTGTAGGCATAGCGATAGCTTAAATTTTGGTATCAATCTTTTAAAAAAATTATCGCCATCTCATTTTAATTTGGGGACAGCTGGAGGTGCCCAGGGCCATGGCCCGGCTGCACCTCCCGCACCGACTTCTGCATTTTGATTCTTATCTGTTTAAGACTTTTCACCCCAGAACCAGAAGATGTTTTTTTCTTCTTTTCTTTATATTGTTTTATACCCGAAATTCTAAATCGGGTCATTAATCCAAGTGGATTTTCTTTTTATATATTATACGTGTGTGTGCATGTGCTTTGTGTGTGTGTGGGCTTGTGTGTGCGTGAGCTTGTGTGTGCTCTTTTCCCATCACCACATACTAGAAAAATCATTTCTCTCTCCTCTGTCTGAAACCGCGCCTTTGTCTGGTGTTCTGGGTGCAGAGTTGGTATACACCGACTTCTGGCTGGCTCACAGAGCTTGTCTTTTTGCCAGTTTTCTGTCACGTCTTATGGTGTTCTTTCCCTGCTATTTTTCCTTCTGAGGATGTACTGAACTCTGCGGGTTCTAAGTTCCTGTTCTACATTTGGAAAATAAGAAAATCTGTTTTTCTCCCCCCCCCCTCCCCCCGGCATTCTCTCTCGCCCTGGTTCTGAGTGTGGCCTGGGGTTCCCCCCCCCCCCCCCCCCCCCGCCGTTTCCTCTGCTCTTAGCTGGGAAGCCTTTTCCGTGGCCCCTGGCAGTTCTTGCAGCAGGGTCGTTCTGTGGCTTTGCTGCGCCCCCTCCCCGCTGCTCGGCTGCTCTTGGCTGGGAAAATCTTGGAGATACGCATCCTTTCCGGATTTAAGGCGCCACTTTACCAGCCTGGCCTGAGCCCTCGCCAGCCGCAGTGCCCGGGCAGCAGACAGGCCTGATCCACGGTCTGGGTCCTTCTGCGTGGAGAGCAGTGGCAGTTCCAGAACATTCTGGTGTTCCAGGTCCTCCGGCCTTGCTTGCAGGCACGGCAGTGCTCTTGCCTCTGGGCAGCGTCGAGGCGAGCAGGTTCCCGGCCCTTCCACCGTCCTGCAGGGCTAGGCACCCCTGGCCCCTGCCAGCGAGCATCTCCCCGGCTTTTGGGTACCGTCCCAAGTTGGGAGCGCAGCCCGGCCACCGCCATGTCCTGGCCGCCAGTGCTCCTGGCTCCTCTGGCCAACCCGGAGCCAGTGCCCACCCCCTCACGGTGCCCTGGCCCTGCGGTGCCCTCGTGTCACCCGCTCACCACACACCACCGCGCCCTGGATGTCCCCGAAAGCCCTTTCCAGCCTGTCCCTGGGCCAGCAGCCCGTGGAGCTTAGTTCCTGTGTCCCCTCAGCTGCTCGTACGGGCACAGGGCAAGGTGTGCAGACACGAGGCAGGGTGCATGGGCACGGGGCAGGGTGTGCGGGCACAGGACAAGGCACATGGGCATGGGGCAAGGGGCAGGGGCCAAGGCGCGCAGGCCCAGAGAAGCGTGTGCGGGACCGAGGGCAGGGGTGGACAGCACACAGGCAGGCTCTGACGTGCAGACACGCGCCCAGGCCACTGGGCACTGTCCGGGCCCAGCGGGTGCCGCGGTGCCGAGGTGCTGGTGGGCCGGACCAGAGCAAATGGTCGCACTAACAGAAGCCTTTCCTCCCGCCGGCAGACATCGAGGACGTGAAGAAGTACAAACCCGGGTACTTGGAAGCCACGCTCAGCTGGTTCCGGTATTACAAGGTGCCAGATGGAAAGCCAGAAAACAAGTTCGCGTTCAACGGCGAATTCAAAAACAAGGTGGGCGAGCTTTCCCTTTTCCATTTAGTCAGACCAATCCCTGGAGACCTCTACAGCACAGTCTATCCCTGGGCCCTCTCATGTGAATACCTGAGGATACACCGACTGCCCGTGACTGACTTTTAGCAGGGTTACTTTATGATTTTGATATTTCCCCCAGAGACCGGAGGGCTCGCTGGACCATCTCTGTGTCTGAGGATGCGCTCCCCAGGGGCCAGCTGTGTGTGTCCTCTGATGGAAAGTGTGGCTCACTCCTGGGGCCAGCCCAGTCAGGTTTTCCCCATCACCCCCTTGAGAGAGGACATGAGCCCATGGGGGGATTGTCCCGAGGATGAATGCACAGAGTGCCCAGCCCCTGGCCCACAGCTCGCCCTCTCTGAGTCCTGTGTCCCTCCCAGCAGCCAGGTGACTTGATTTTTCCTTTGGTTTGGGTGTAGGCTTTTGCTCTCAAGGTCATCGAGTCTACGCATGAATGTTGGAAAGCCTTGCTCATGAACAAGTGTGAGAGAGGGTCTATTGAGTGGTAAGAATTTGCCTTTTTGATGTAATGCTATTTTTTTACCTTAATTTTTTTTTCTTTTAGGGACCATGATTTATAATGTCATTTTAGTATTTGTTGGTATTAAACAGCCATGTGATACTACTCAGATCTTGTATTTTAAGGAGAACTGTTTTTTTATTTTCCCAAGTGAAAATGATTGACAGAACACTTAGCGGAAGGTGGGATTAGCGAGAGCCGGGCACTGTGGACTCTGGCGTGGGCACTGTCCTTTTCCTCAGGGGATTCTGACGGGGAAAACTCATGTAAACTGGCATTTAATTACAGTACACGTGATATATGCAAGAAGGGAGTAGAAAAAACAAATGCAAATGTGGTTACTTATGTCTGTGATAATTATCACCCCAGTTCTTGGTAAGAACATCAGGAGCCTCCCCATCCAATATGAGCCGCAGCCCCGGGGTCCCGGGAGCCAGGCTGCAGTGACGAATTCAACGCCCAGCTCTGTACTAGCTTAAGACATTCCAGTGCACTTTGCTAATTTGGGTGGGGGTGGGGGCTAAGTGTGGGTTTTACATTGTCTGACGCATAATAGAAAACAAAGCTCTGATTTGAGGCTGGGGGGGCGGGCGGAGGAGTCGAGGACCACCCAGCAGGGCTCAGGGGGCTCTGTGGTGCCTGGAGCAAGTCTGGGCTTCCTTGCATGGACCTCCCAGACAAAGCCCTTTGTTCCACACTGACTGGTCCCTCAGCCGTTTGTCTCTCCATTGGATCTGCAGTGCTGTGCATTCATGGCTGTGCCTGGGGCATAGAGGGCATCCCCGTGGCTGAAATGTGTCTCACCGCCCAGAACTGCAGCCAAACCAGAGTACACAAGGATGGTTTTCTTTTTGGTTATTGCTCCTTTTAATTTTTCCTATTGATGAATAACCTTCTCCGTCCCTCCAGCACCAATGTGCAGGTCTGTGGCAGCCCGTTCCTTTGCACTCAGGAGAAAGCAAGAGCAGTCGTGGAATCGGTAAGGGACAAATGTCCACAGCACCCAGCGGTCTTCAGCACGCCTAGCTGGAGAAAGGCGGCTCTGGGGAAGCATGCAGTTTTTAAAAAGGCGTTGGTTTTGACCACAGGACTGAAGTCCAGAACCTTCCAGGCGTCTTGTGGCCGTTTGAAGCTCTGGGCACATCAGTTGTCCAACGGGGTCTGCGTGCTCTGTTGGCGTGTCCCGGGTTAAATGCGGGGGCACGTGTTGGCCCTCTGCTCCGTGTCCGAGCACAGAGCTGCAGCCTGCCGTCTGCTGATGCGCATCTCAGGGAGGGAACGAGCGAGACCTTGTTGGGGTTGGGTGGGCAGAGTCACCCCCAGCAGTGCTCAGGGCTTGCCCCTGACTCTGCACCCCGGCGGGACCTGGGGGACCACTCCCAGTAGCAGGGATCGAGCCCAGGTGGGCCACATGGTACCCGAGTCCTGTCTCTCAGCCCCAACGACGAAGACGTTTGCCCTTTCCTCAGGGGGTTTAGCATCTTGCCAGTTTCCACCATCTTCGTGGAAACCCTGCAGGCGGCTGCATTGATGAGGGACTCCGCACGCGGGAGGGGCCCACAAGGGGCTCTGGGGTTGAGGCCAGCTAGTCCAGCTCCGCTGACTGACCAGCTGGGCTCAGGCACTGTGGAAGGCACGGAACCCCGTTTATGAGTGGTGCCTGGCTTCCCTTCTGAGAGGGAGCCCGACCCTTTCTGGGGCAAGGGCAGTCTCACCTCTGCTTGTTCTCTGCTTCCATTTCTTTGGGGCTGCACTCCTCACGGTGCTCAGGCATTACTCCTGTGCTCAGGGGCCGTCTGGGTGCTGGGGATGAAACCCGGGTCAGCCGCATGCAGAGACCCAGGCCCCCGCTGCCCTCTTTTCTTAGTGCAGGCAGGTGATGCCGCAGTGCTCGGGAGGGAACACAGTAGCCCTGGTCGCTGCGCCCCAGCCAAGGAGGGGGCCACACTGCCAGGCGCCGTCCCCAAGGTCACGATGAGGGCAGGGGGCTGCTGTTCCTGACTCATCCCCCAGAGTCCCAAGGCCAAGGGGCAGAGGGAATGAGAGGGAGCAGGGGCGGCCTTCAGAAGGGGCAGGAGGAGCAGGATTCACTGGAAGAAAAGCCTGTCAGGATGATTGATGCGTGCGGTTCTTGTTCCGAATGAGCTGGAGCCATGGAGGCTCTGAGGAAGGAAAGCCAGGGGCTGGTGGGGACTCTCAGTGCTGAGGTAAGGGGCAGGAGAGCCGCCCAGTCTTGCTGACTGAGCTCCATTTGCATCAGAAATAGCGGGAAACAAAGATCATTTTACGTGGCTGACTGGTGGTCTCACTCAGCTCACACCATCCCTCCCTTCACTTCATTTTGGGTTTTATAAAGAGTAGATACTTTCCTTAAAATTAAACTCCAGATGAATGTTTCTATCTAAGATCCTGATTTTGAATCGTTCCCAATATTAGTAGGAAAATTGTCCCTTGGGGGGAAAATATCCCTTGGAAGACCTGGATGCACCTCCACCAGCGTTCCCCAGAATGGGTGATGGCCCCTGCAGGGGTGCTGTGGGTTCCGTTGTTGTGGGTTCCGGGAGGGGAGAGTCAGAGAGCCGGGTGAGGGGGAGGCCACTCTCTGCTGGCCCCTTACGGAAGGTAGACTTCCGGGGCCCCTGGGGGTCACCTTGTCTTTCTGAGGAGGGCACAGGGTAGGATAAGCTGAGGGCCTTTGATCTGAGCAGTCGGGCTTGAGACCGATTAGCCTTGGGAAACATCTGTCAGCTGTCAAGTGACTGGCTGGTGGCACCTAAGTGCTAAGGGCGGTCGGTGGCGCTTCTCATGGGAGGGCTGTGACACGCCTCCCCAGCCTGAGGAACTGAGGAAACCCATGGGGGCGGCATCTCACCACAGAAGGCCGCAGAGGCGGAGGCGGCTGGGGACGGGGCACCCGGGGTGAGTGACGCATCTTTGAGAAGCCCCCGCAGGCTGGTCATAGTGAAAGTCTGTCATCACGGTGGGCTGGTGGCCTTTCCCGGCCTCAGGACCTCAGGGAGGTGCTGGAACCAGAGCCGCAGGGTCTCTCTCCTGGGCGGGTCACAGGTGGCCTGCCGCTGGTCTAGCTGCTGAGAATAACCCAGCACGTGGACCCCCTTCATCCACCGTAGCGCGTTCAGGCCACCTCAGCCCTGGGCTTGTCTGAAGGCAATGAGGCTCTGTTAGCACAACCGTGGCACCCGCTTCTGAGATATCTCCACCATCCATGGGCAGTGAGGGACCCTCGACACACGCACTGGGGGGTGGGGGTGGGGGTGGTAGCCCTGGGGGATGGCCCGGGTGTGCCCGTCAGCAAATATCAACAGCAACTAGTACGTCTGCTGTGGCTTCAGAGGACACACTTAGGATCCTTTCCCACATGGAAAGTTATCTCTAAAAAGTTTTTGAAAGTCAAGATTGAAACAAGATTCATAAACTTAATCTAACAGATATACAAAACTGACTAGGAAGCATAGAGCTTTTTCATGGACACTTCCAAATATAAAGTCTATATAAAGACACAGAGTCACCCCAGAAAGACAAGAGTCAATGTTATGTAGACCCCACTATCTACAGTATAAGAAGATTATTAAGCAGTCTGATAATGATTAAAAAGAAATTCCAGATGCCTGTGTTTGGTTTGGGGGGTCGCGCCCCTCGGGGCTCAGGACTTACTGCTGGCCCTGCACACAGGGATCACTACTGGTGGGAGTCGGGGGACCATAGGAGGAGCCGGGGATTGAACCCGGGTCAGGTTCGTGCAGGGTAAACGCCCTACCCACTCTGCTTTCTCTCGTCCCAGAGCTGAGGTGGCCTGAATGTGCTACGGTCCCAAACGTGTTTGGAAATACTTCTACACACTTGGGAGCACTCTGGGTAAATCATGCCTCCAAAAATGAGTTAAAATAAATTATGGGATTTTTTTATGAATTGTAAATCATAAGAAAATAACTGTGTCAAAACTTGCTCGGTCCCGGGGAAATGTAGTTTTGAGGAGAAAGCAGATGTCTAAGGCGGATGTGAAGGAAGGGAACCGCCACACTCAGATCCAACTCACCTATTCATTTGTTCATTTTTTTTCTTTTTACAAGACCATAAAGAGTAGAGCAAATGTTTAATGAAGTAGAAAACAGTGACAAGAAGGAACTAAGACCTGTGCCCCCAGCCTCACCTCTGAATAATAAGAGAGCGACAAACCTGCAGGGGGTGGGACTGGAGCAGCAGCACAGTGAGTAGGGCATTTGCCTTGCACAGGACCACCCTGGTTTCGATTCCCAGCATCCCATAGGGTCCCCCGAGCACCACGAGGTGTAATTCAGGAGTGTAGGGCCAGGAATAAACCCCTGAGCATCGCCAGGTGTGACCCCCCCCCCCAAAAAAAAACCCTGCAAGTTTGGCCCTATCTTGCCCCACATCGATGGCTTCCCTTCACCCCAGAGCATCCCGCGTGCCCTCCCTGGGGGCTTGTGTGGGTGACGGTGAGCAGCACCTTTGCAAGGTGGGAGGCGACGCTTTGATCTGGCACCCGACCATGCCCCTCCTGGGTGCTCTCTCTCCACCTGGGAGGCATCACGGCCCCTAGACTGGTCCCTTTCACCCGGTGGGCCCCAAGGAAAGTGCTCCCAGGATGTGCCGAGTGGGAGGCCTGCCGGGTCACGTGCGTCTCTCCTGGGACAGATACCAGCTGGGAACTCGTCGGGGCCTTGTCAACTCCGTCCTCTGCGGCTAGTGCCGAGAATGTGCTGGTGTCGCTCCTCAGGGGCTGGCCGAGGAGCAGGGGAACCCTCTCTGCTCCTGGGGGTTCGGCCTCTGTCTCCCATGACCCCGTGTGCAAACCCAGACGGGGCCTGGCTTTGTTTCAGGTTAGAAAGTGTCTGAATTCCTCCAGACACAATCAAGCCCCTCCGGAATTGCAGTAGCTCTGTCCTTACCTTCCAGGTACATCCAGGAACTTCAGAGAGCAGCGGAAGTGAGCCAGAAGGTATGTATGGGGCCCTTGCTGCTCGGAGCAGAGATCTGTTGATGCTGCTACAAGCCACAACCCTGATACTCCCCCCAAACCCAAGTAATTCTAAAGTCACATAAACCACATACTTTCTTTTTTTTGTTTTGTTTTGTTTTTTCGCTTTTTGGGTCACACCCGGGGATGCACAAGGGTTACTCCTGGTTCATGCATTCAGGTATTACTCCTGGCAGTGCTCAGAGGACCATATGGGATGCTGGGAATCGAACCCGGGTTGACCACGTTCAAGGCAAATGCCCTACCCGCTGTGCTATCACTCCAGCCCCAACTACATACTTTCTTAACTAGTCACCAGAGTTTTCACATGAAATATCTTATCCCCTTATTTCAATAAGTGAAGAATATGTTGATAACATTTAGACTAGAAAATAATTTAATTATGTAGCAACTTAATTAAGAACCTACTTTTCTGGGTGAAATACTGAGAAGTTCCATGTGAATTTGGAGATTTTTTTTTTTTTTTGAGTGGGGACACTCACCTGTGGTGCTCAGGGCTTACTCCTGGCTCTGCCCCAGGGATCATTCCTGATGAGGCTTGAGGACCGTATAGATGCTGGGGATTGAACCTGCGTTGGCTGCGTGCACAGCAAGTGCCCAACCCACAGTACTATCTCTTGGGGCCTGGAGATTTTCCTCTCTTCTTAATTTTTTTTAATTGAATCATCGTGATACATACTTACAAAATTGTTCATAATGGGGTTTCAGTCGTATAATATTCCAACACCTGTTTCCTTCGGCAGTGCACATTTCCCACCACATATGCACTGATGTCCCCACTTTCCCTCCCTCCCTGCCCCCCAGTCTACATCTATGGCAGGGCATCTCTCTCTCTCTCTCTCTCTCTCTCTCTCTCTCTCTCCTCTCGCTGTCGTTCTCACTCTCTTCCTCTCCCTTTCCCTCTTTCTTTCCCTTTCTCTCCTTTCCTCCCTCTCCCTCTCCTCCTCTCCCTCCCTCTCTTATCTCCTTTCTCTTCCTCTCCCTCTCTCTCCCAGTCTCTCTCCTCCCTTTCTCCTCCCTCCCACTCTCTCTCTCTCTCTCTCTCTCTCTCTCTCTCTCTCTCTCTCTCTCCCCCTCTCTCTCCATCTCTCCCCCTCGCCCCCTTTCAGGTGCTGTGGTTTGCAGGACTGTTACTGAAAGCTCATCATACTTATCACTTTCCCTCCTTCGCGCCTTTCAGCACCCAGTTCTGGTCCAGTCATCATTCCCAACTCTCATTGTCGTCTGAACTTCTCCTTATTAATGAACTCCTCATTTTATTTTTTTTTTATTTATTGCTTTTTGGGTCACACCCGGTGATGTACAGGAATTGCTCCTGGCAGTGCTTGGGCGACCATATGGGATGCTGGGAATCAAACCCAGGTTGGCCATGTGCAAGGCAAACGCCCTATCCACTGTGCAATCTCTCCAGCCTTTAACTCCTCATTTTAACAAAAGACCTTAAATCAGACTTTACCTCAGGTAGAGTAGGCTTTAAAATTTCTTTGTTTAAAGTTGCCATTTTTGAGAAACCAGTGGAAAGTGTTCTGAGGTTGAAGGATTTCCACAGCATACGCATGCATCATTTGTTTAAGCGAATGTCTGTCTTTGCTTAATATAAAACACTGAGAAAATCCAGACCAGGGGAAGCGTTGGGAAAACAGTTTCCTGGGGTCCAGGCGGTTTCCTGGCGTCCAGGCTCGGGGCTGGGAGGAGCCTGAGCACAGATGCTGCAGCCTTGCCAGGCTCACCTCTGAGGGTCCCCATGGAATAACGCCAAGAAAGGGCCACGGGAGAAGCAGGAAGTGAAGTAGGAAGCTCTGAAGGCTCTGGCTGAGGACCCGGGGCCGAGCTGCAGGGACCTGAGGCTGGAGTTTTGTCGGGGATGGCTCTGAGCCTGGTCCTCCCCGGGTCCCAGTGACGTCTTGTCCTCCTCCCTCCCGCCCTCCAACACAGAGCAAGTGTGGCACTTCCTCAGCACAAACTGAAGCTTCGGAAGCCCCTGCCCTCCAGACTCTGAGACTGCGTCCCTGCGCCTGGAGCCGGGCTCGGCCTGGAGGATTGGCTGACTTCAGTGGAAACTTCATCCCCCCCCCCCCCCCAGATATTTTGAGATTCGTAAAATGTAAATAAACATTGCGATTCTTAATAATTCGTCTGGTTCTGGGTATTGGTGAGCTCAGGGGAAATTTCGCTCTCGGCTACGACATATGTGGCGGGAGGCACCTGAGAAGCAGTGTCTGGCCAGTTCTAGCTCTTGTCTCTGTAGCGACCCCATTCTTTTTCTTAGCTTTTATTTCTGTTGGTTAATGCCAACACCGCATGCTGAGGAAGTTGAGTCTTGTGATGTTCCTGTCCTCATTTCCATCAAGACCTTTCGTGATTGACCGTTGAGTATCCTTTCAAGCCCGTCACTGGCCCAGACTTCCTGTCCCCCGCCTCTGGCTTCCACGAGAGTCCGGGGAAGGTTCCCACTCCAACCGCGGCTGCTCCGTTATTCCTTGGAATCCCTGGGCTCTCCATGGCTCTCTGCCAGCCCCGTAGTCTCAGTTCACAACTCTGTTGAATCGCCCCAAATCTGCCATCCCTCCCCTCCGTCTCTTTCCGGTCACTCTGGACCGTGCCTGGGGCCAGGGGAGAGTCCTCAACCCCCTCACCACCCTGTCCATGTCTCTGGCTCCTACCTCACGTTCACCTTCCTGCCTCCTGAGCGCCCCTACATGCATGTACACGTGTGTGCGCACGTGTGTGTGTGTGGTGCGCAGGGTTGAGCACGGCCCCTCATAGAGTCTGGCGGCGTCTCTCCCACCGAGCTGCACGCCCGGCTGGGTGGCTGCGTTGCTGAGCCTGATTTCTGGGGATCCCGTTGTCTTCTGGCCCTGCCCAGGGGGCTGACGCTGCTCACTTCAGCCTGATGTTCTGGAAAGTTCTGCAGTCTGCTCAGGCCCACACAACAATACAGTGTCCAAGACAGAACTCCGGGCTGCAAGCCTCAGAATCCAGGGGTATCTTCTGGGGCCCTCGCCATGTGTGCAGAGCTCTCAGCACCCTCGCACGAAGTGGGGGTGGGATGGGCAGCGAGGCGCTCAAGTGGAGGATGAGCCTGTGAGAGGCTCTGAGGGACATCAGAGAGGGAGGGTGTGTCGGGCTGTGGTCAGCTAGGATTGTCTCACCATGTGCAGAGAGGCTTCCAGCAGCCTCATGAGAAATGAGCCGATTGCTGAAGGCTCCTGTGCCAGGCCCAGGTAGCTCACAGAGTTTGCTGGGCGGTGTCTGGGACACGTGAAGAGGGGCTTCTCCCTGGGAAGGGACAGACACAGACCCTCAGGAGGCCTCTCCTACCTGCTCACACGCATCCTAATACACCCCAAACTGTTTCGAGCTTTCTGAAGCAAGAACTAGTTTTACTTTTTTTTTTTCTTTTTCCAAGTGAATAAATAATATCCAGAAAGTGAGATTCTCTGGGAAGGATCTCATCAAACGTTAGAATTCCCAGCAGGGAGTTCTTCCGCTTTCTCCAAGGCCCAGGGCAAAGGCCTTGTGGGTAACAGCCTCAGCTGACGGCCACGTGTCCGGGCACTCTGAGATGAACCTGGCGTGCTTTTAGATGGGCTCCAGATCGAGGCCAAAGTTCCTGCCCAGGATGCCCCGTGCCTGGACTTGGGTGCAGTTATTGATAAGAACTTCCAGGTGTGAAACCGACCTCTCGACTCCAGTGGAAGCAGCGGCTTCTTAGAACTGAGACACCACAGGAGGGGCAGGAGGAACAGCGCGGCAGGGAGGGTGCTGCCTCCGTTTGACCCCGGCCCCTACAGCTCCCTGAGCCCCACCCGGAGTGCACCCTGAGCAATCCCTGGCTGTGGCACAATCCGAGTGCCCGGGTGAGAGAGAGCAGCTGTGCCAGGAGGGGGCGCCCCAGCTGCCAGGGAGCAGAGCCGGGAGGCCTGGGAGGGCTGGGCCAAGGGACATGTGAGAAACTGCCTGGACGCACCTCTGGTCCTGCCAGGACCAAACCCTCTGCCTGCTCCTGGGGCGGGGTGGGTGCCATGCCATGCCGCCTTGGGAAGGGTGTGGGTGCGGGGCTCTGCAGGGGCTACCAAAAGGGCCTGGAGGGCCGCAGGGCTGCTTGGGTGCCTGCTGGCCGGGGAGGGAAGCTGCCGGGCCACCCTTCTCCCCTCATTGACCCTGAGCTCTGCCACACCTGCAGTGCCTCCTTCACAGGGGAAGGGGAGGCTGGAGAGAGGACGGCGGCGGGGAGGGCGTCCCTGAGCACCTCCAGGGGTCACTCCAGAGCACAGAGCCCGAGCAGCCCCAAGCATGGCCGGGTGTGGCCCCCAAACCAGGCTCCCTGACTGTCTGTCCCCGCCTCCTCCTGCACCCACGTGGCCAGGAGGTCACTCCTTGCAGTTCTTTGATGTAAAGGAATTTCCTGGCAATTAAACTGTGTTCAATGTGTGGTTTGGCAGAACTGTGTCCTCTGCGTGGAGGTTTCTTGTTTGTAATCAGACTTTTGGGGGCAGAGACAGGCAGGGCTTCCGGTGCTGACCTTGGTGGGGCCGAGCCTGTTCAGTACTCACTGCCCCTGTCCCTGGGCATCACCGGTGCAGCCCCCGAGACCCCAAGCTCCGAAGGGGTGACCCAGAAACCCCACACCGCGTCCATCTAGCGGGCAGTCCTCGGGGGCCCCAGATCTCCTGAGCCTGGCACGACTGGACCCCCCAGAAGAGGCCCTGGTGCCCAGCTGCCCTGCCGGGTGCATGCCTGCCATCATCCGCCTTGTGATCCCGGGACTGCGGCCTGGCACTGAGCACTGTGCCCCATGGTCCCCGGGCACGGCCGGGCTTTGCTGGGGGATGGTTTGAATTTATCGAGCTGCATTAGAGAAATATCTGCGTTGGCTGGAGCGCCCGCTTTTAAGACAAAACACAAAGGCAGCAGAAAGCTGACTTGTCTGGGGAAATGTTTTCCTGGTTTCCTGCTCGTCCTGGGGAGACGTGACCTAGTTCCCCATGCCCGCCCAGGCTGCGGCCATCAGACAGGTCTATTTCGGGTGAATGTCCCCCCTCCCGGGACTGCGTGGCCAACTGGACATGAGCCGAGCAGGCAGTGGGTAGGGACCGGCTGCGTCTACACCCACTGATGGTATAGGTGCACACCTGGCCTCTCACCCACTTCCCCAGATAGTCCGGCCTGGCCCGGCCCGGCTCTAGGCAGTTTGTCTGGAGAGAGGAAGATTCTGGAAGTGGACTCTGCTGGGATGGGGATGGCAGCCAGGACTGGCCCTTGCCACCACCTAGTCCTCACACTAGCTGGGCTGAGGTATGGGTGTGTGGCTTAGCCCACGGCCGCACCTGCTGCCTGCCGAGCTGTTGGCTTGCCCCCACACACACACACATGTGGAGCCTCTCGCCACCCCGATCCCCCGCGGGGGAGCCCCTAATGGAGGCCACGGCCCCTGCATGCTCTGGGAGCCGCGGGCACCTGAACTGTTCTCATTAGCCTGGAACCCGGGCTTCTGGCTGCCTGACGTGCTCGTTAAGGCGAGGCCCGGGCCGGCGCCTGGTGACACGCGTGCCAACTGCATCTCCACACGCAGACGGACACTTTCCTCCCCCAAAGCTTGGGATAGAGAGCGATGCCATGGGCCCAGCAGTCATGGACACGGCAAGGAACAGGACGTGGGAAGGCGTCTCCCGGGTCCCAACCCACCTCCTGCCCCTGGTGTTTGGAAGCTCCCCACCCCCCACCTACCTACCCCCAGCTGATTCCTTCCTCAGCCTCCCCCTCACACACAGTGAGCCTTTGGTTGAGGAGCAGCTCAGCTGTGACGGCCAGCACCTGTCCCCAAGCCCCCTGGGGAGAAGCACCACCTGAGCACGGCTGCTGCAAGCCCAGAACCAAATTACAAAGGAAAGAAAAAGAAAGTGAGCTTCTAGATGTCAGAAATGAGAAGAAAGAGCCAGTCAAGGGGCAGATCATGGAAAGGTGCTGAGGGGCCTCGCAAGGTGCTTCTCAGTGCAGATGCCCACCCCTGCCCCGCCCCAGGGCCCCAACCCTTCCTGACACCGTCCCCCTGCCAGGCCCTGCAGAGGCACATGGGCCGTGGAGACGGCTGCACCCTCCCTCCCTCCTGAGCACTGCTGGGCCTCTGACCCCCACCAGGCGAGCCCCCTTAAACACATACATCCACACAAGGTGACTGCCAAGAACTTTATTTGGGAAAACCAACATCTCCCTGAAGCCAGACAGAACAGCACGGCGAACGAAGAGCGTCAGGTGCAGAAGCCGTCTCCAAAGTCTGGCTTGGCTCCACAGGGAGCTGCTTGGGCTCCGGGACAGTGTCCGCCACTCCAGGAGCCTGTCGCCTGGACCCTCCCCAGAGCTCAGCTCCCACATGGGCCATGGTGGCCCGGTGTTTGTGAGCTGTGTGTAGATGACTGAGTTGTGTGTGTGTGGATGATTGAGGTATGTATGTGGATGACTGAGAGACATGTGTATGGTTGGCTGAGGTGTGTGTCCACAACTGAGGGGCATGTGTGTGTGTGTGTGTGTGTGTGTGTGTGTGTGTAAGGCTGAGGAGTGTGTGGATGGCTGAGATGTATGTGTGTGGATGACTGAGGTGTGTGTGCGCAAATGAGAGGTGTGTGTGTGTGTATAAGGGTGAGGAGTGTGTGTTGGATAACTGAGGAGTATGTGTGGATGGCTGAGGGGTGTGTGTGTGGAAGGCTGAGAGGTGTGTGTGTGTGTCGACAGCTGAGGGGTGTGTGTGTGTGAGTGTGTATGGATGGCTGAGGTGTGTGTGTGTATGTGTGTGTGTGTGTGTGTACAGCTGAGGGATGTGTGTGTGGACAGCTGAGGGGTGTGTGTGTGTATATGTGGGGATAACTGAGGGGTGTGTGCGTGTGAGTGTGTGTGGACGGTTGGGCGAGTATGTGTGTGTATGGAACAGCTGAGGGGTGTGTGTGTGTGTGTATGTGTGTGTGTGTGAGTATGGATGGCTGAGGGGGGTGTGTGTGTTTGTGTGTATATAACTGAGGTGTGTGTGTGGACGGCTAAGGTGTGTACACAACTTAAGTGTGTGTATGTGTGTGTGTGTGTGTGTGTGTGTGTGTGTGGCTGGGGCCAGCC